CTTTCGAAGATATTTCGAAGAAAGATTGTTTGCTCATAATAGAAGTATTCAAGGAAGATTCAAGTCTTGAAGATTACATGAAGAAAAGACGATTTATGCTTTAATATGTTATCTAGGTTTTCATGTAATATGCTCCGTAGTATGCTTGCATGTTTGGGTTATATAAGTGCTTAAAAGTATATTGAAGTATGATATGAAATCTGGTACAAAGTTGGAACAGGTTTCATAACATGTTTCAATTCAGGGAACCAGGTCGGGGAACCAGGTTCACTGTATTCGAGCTGCCGTTTTGGAAAAAGATTTTACAAAAAGATTTTTTCGAAAAGATTATCTTGAAAATATTTTGTGCAGCTGGAAATAAGATGAAATATTCTTGGTTACCTAAAAACTAGGAGTATTTATCTTAATTGATTCTATCTTTGTGATTAAATCAAATAAGATAAAAACTTTCCTAAAATTACATTATATCTTATTCTCTAAGATTGTGTGATTTAAGGAAACTAGGTTTTAGGAATCTAAGCTTATATAAACTCATCTTATTTCACATATTTCGTGTGCCTCTCCAGAAATCAAAAGAGCAATTATTTGAGAGCATATACTTAAGCACTAATCCCATTCATCAAGTCATATACAAGAGCATTCTAGTACTTAAATATTTTCTCTTAATTAGCTTCGTAGAAGTGAGATCAAAGGGGAGTTCTTGATTCTTGTATTGAGTCTTTAACAAAGGGGTTAAAGGCTGGGTGAGTGTTTGTGAGTTCAAACACATTGGGCTTACGAGTGTAAGTCGAGAGCACACTCGGAGTAGAGTGTGGGGTTTGCTGGTTCCCGGAGTAGGGAACAGCAGAGTGTTCTTTGTCTTTGTTTTTCGGAGTAGATTAATAAAGAACTTAGGATAGGAGGACGTAGGCCTGAGTTGGCTGAACCTCATTAAATTTGTTGTGTTCTTTATTGCTTTGTTTTATTTCGTTAAATTTGTTGTCTTCTTTATTGCTTATTTATATTCCGCTGCGTACGGGAACCAGCACAACTGGTTCCTCACACATAATCCGAAAAGAAGCAAAATTAGCCAACGATTACTTAACACTCAATTCACCCCCCCCTCTTGAGTGCCCATTGAACCTTCAGATATAGACTTGGCTTAGCTTCCACATGTGACCTTGCTAGGTACGTTGACATTATTTCAACTTGATCTGATAAGTACCAACCCGTCACGAGTCAATCTAAAATCAATAGGTGGACTCGATCGAGTTAACTCTGTATATAATTACATACATCCTAACATACATACATATAAATCGCGGTAGGTGCACATGACAATTTTATTAACTATCTGGTATTCTGATGTTTCATTATTGAGTGTTTAAAATTCGAGTAATCTCCTCGAGATTATGTAGGAAATTTTGGGGTATGCATGCATAACCATAAATTAATTGATGGGTGTTTAATGTTTACGTTATATGTAGCATGTAGCTCAAATATGTGCACGTCATGACCTACTTGTAAAGTTGTAACATAACATGACGGATATATTTGGGAATTGTTTTTGTCAGTTATTGTTTGTCTCTAGTTTTTATTATTATTATTAACAGCCGCCCACTATAATAAGGTCGGATGGGCTATCAATTTATTTATTGATAACAAAATTAAAAGGATCGTTGGTCCATGTAATCGTTGTATCACTTGTATGTCTTGCTTGGTGGTCAGGTTTTTAGTGCAACAACGTTGTCCTGACAACTGACTTAGGCTCTGTTTAGTTCATCTAATTTTAGCTGATCTGGTCTGCTCTGATTTTATCTTATCTTATATGATCTGATCTGAACTTATGTTTTCTGATCTGATCTGAACTTATTTTTTCTGATCTGATCTAAACTGAATTTATTTTTTCTGATCTGAACTTATCTTTTCTGATCTGATCTAAACTTATTTTTTCTGATCTGAACTTTTTTTTTTTTAGGAATCTGAACTTATTTTAATTATTTCAATATTCTACTTTTATTTTAATCAATATTAATGTTTTTTTTAAACCATATTAATGTTTTATTATTATTATTATTATTATTATTATTATTATTATTATTATTATTATTACTTCCTCCGTTCTATTAATATTGCAACAATGGACTTTTTGAACTATTCATCACTCTTGTTTGACCATATAATATGAGTTATATGTTAAGCAAAATATAGTCAAATGGGATCTTGTTGGATTTGTCTCATTTAATACTTTCACAATATCAACTTTTTATAATTTTTACTCTTACACAATTATAGATATTTAGCATATAAAATGTGTTTTGGGATGCGTAATTTCCTCCTTGTTGCAATATTAACAAAACGGAGGAAGTATTATTGTTAGGAAAATTATTATTATTATTATAAAATATTTAGATCCCTTACAAATATTTTAAAAGAAACCTAAAAGTATTAATATTATCAGATAGTACAAGGTAATATACTTGTAATATTTGATAATTTTATTATTTACAATATCCAACATCATAAATGAATTTGTTTATAAGAAATTATTAAAATGGGATCCTAAAAAACCTAAATTGCATATTAAATTTTGTCATAGCTTTATAGGGAATTTTACAAATTTTTTGGTAATGTAAATGGTTGACTAAATTGAATTGAAAATTATCATTTCATATTTCAATATTCCAAACAACTATGGGTAACACCTCTATTTTCCTATTTAAAACAACATCTTAGTGTCATAATTTTTACACTCTAAATCAATCTCCTAAAATATTTTTCTATTCATTTGTTCAATAGGTTGTTTGTCTTTTATCTCCATCATAGGTAAATACTTCAACACTCTATGTCATTAATTTTATCATTTGTCTATTGTTTTTTTATAATGTAGGAAAATATACATTTATTTGATTTCATGAATTTTACATTTGACCTAATGCAAGTAATATCAATGAAAATGTAAAGCACAATTAATATTTTATCTTCAGTTCAATTCATTTATTTCAAAAGAATCCTTTTTATTATAATCCTGGTGCCAATTCAACATTAATGTCTATAATTTATGCATGAAATATTGATTCCAAAGTGTTCTTTATCATAGTGTAATGGCTGGTAGGGTAGCATGGTCTGAAGAATGTACGGAGATATTGTTGGACATATGCTTGGAGATGAAAGAATTTGGATATTTAAAGCTTAATTGGGATAGAATAGTGAGTACTCTGATCGTTAAATGTGGAAAGCAATTCAATATCAAACTAGTAACAAATCATTGGAATGATTTGAGATGTTTTGGACAATTCAAATCTCAATGGAAAATACTCACAATGATGCCAAATATAGACACTAAACATCAATTGGCGATTATGGTTGCTGCATTCACACTTCACAATTTTATTCGATTACATGAGTTGGATATACCCATTGATAGTGGTATAGAAATCGAACCAAGAGCAGATTATGATTTGTTTAACGAGAATCGTAAGGCTGTAATGAACGAAGTACAACTTAATATAGCGAAGGAAATTTGGAACTTCTTATGATGAAAATTATATTTGTAAACGTTTATAATTTGGAGCTTATAATGAAAATTTAATTATTATCGTTTATTGTTTGAACAACAACAACAACAACAACAACAACAACAACAACAACAACAACAACAACAATAATAATAATAATTATTATTATAGTAGTAATAATAATAATAATAATAATAATAATAATAATAGTAATAATAATAATAATAATAATAATAATAATAATAATAATAATAATAATAATAATAATAATAATATGTATTTAATTTGAACTTAACTGATCTGATCTGAACTTATTTTTTCTGATTTGATCTGATCTGAACTTATTTTTTCTGATATGATCTGATCTGAACTTATTTTTTCTGATCTGACCTGATCTGAACTTATTTTTCCTGATCTGATCTGATCTGAACTTATTTTTTCTGATCTGATCTGATCTAAACTAAGTAAAAATAAGGTGAACTAAACAAGGCCTTACTTGTAACAACTGCTAAGGATACGGCGGACGTGCTTGCCCTTTTTTTTTCTCTTACTTTATTAAAAAAACATAATCCATACATAATACATATTGAGGAAATGATACTAGTTTATATGAATTTATAATTCATAGTACTACCTCCGTTTCATATTATTTATAACGATTGAATATTTTTCCTCTATACTTTATGTCAAATTGTTGCAAATAATATGAAACGGATGTAGTATTTGCATGCTTTGGGCTTGTAAGTTTATTAGCAAATTACTAATTAATCTATCTTTTAGTGTTTGAATCAAGTTTGAGGGTTAGCCATTTTGAGAGTGAGGGATTCAGTAAGAGAATTTCCAATTTCCCACACACATAAAGTATTCTTAATGAGAATTGAACCTCTAACCTCAAGGTTAGTTGAATGTTCTTTCCTTACAATTGGGCTAACAGTTGACTGGTATTGATACCCATTGATCTAGTATGGCGTTTATTTTGTAAAGGACGCGTCCTATTATCCATAGTACATGTTAGATGATATTAGCTAGCTAGTTAAAATATAACGTATATGCATTTTTGTGATGTAAATTTAGTCTCTTGCATACCGTGTGAGTTAAGGTGGGAAATTAATTAAGAACGATATTATGGGGTTGCAAGTTAAAAGTTGGACTTTATAATCTCAAATTGCATGAAAATTTCATATGCTTTTCACTATTTTAATCTAATTGCTTTATGAAAAGCACTGTGACATTTCTTTTCTCCGAGCTGTTATTTTCTAAACTTTTTGTTGATAAAATATACATAACTCAATTGTGTAAATCTTTACCTTAATTATATGATCTTAAATTTAAGATGAAAATCTTTAAACTTGTATGTGATTATAAGACATTCTTCCGAATCTTTTGTATGTAGGACCACTGAAGATTTGTCGAGATCTAATATCCATGTCATTTAGTATAGCTTGCAGAATCTTGAATTTTAACAAGCTAAGTGCAACATATTGAGAAAATATCACACAAAAATTAATTAATTTTACGCTATCAATTAATGAAAAACACTAGGAAACATAGCACCTCACAAAACTTGGCACATTCTACCAACATACATATTGAGGTGAAACTATCTTACACTAGTTAGCACAATAAGTGCAAAGTACTTAATGTCCTCCACTCCTTAATCTTATAGACTATTCTTAGATAATATACATGGTAAGAAAAAAAAGGAAAAATTAAAATATATAGCTAGGTAAATAATTCTAGCTAGATGAAATTTGTGGACTTAAACTTACATAGTTACATCATGTCTACATAAAATCTACTACAAAAAAAAAAAAAAAAAAAAAAAAAGCAATATTTATGCTCATAAGTTATCCAACAATCCATCAAGAGAAGTATATTGATCCATGGCGTATATCTCGTTGATCCAATCCATATCGTCGTAGGATTCAGCCGTAGAGGCGTGAACCTCGGGCGCCAAAGACGAGTTCACATCGCCCTGCTCGGAAACAGGGGTTGATGGAAAACCTATGCTTGTTATGTCAGAGGTTGGTGAGTTCTGGTTGATGGTCGTTGCCCCTGAATGAGGATCATGGGTGATAAGCGAAGGCGGTGACTCTACCTTGATGGGAGTGTACTCCTGTTTAACCATGGTAGTATTAGCATGGAAGGTTGATTTGGGGAATAAGGTAGGGTTAAGGGCATGTTTGGCTACTAGGTGGTTGTTTGTCTCAAAGCTCAAAAAAAAGGAGTTTTGTTCAAGGGAATCATCTATTATGATTGAAGGGGTTTTGTGGGGGGTTTTGCATGTGTGTTGACCTTGGTAGATGATCTTGTATTTTGTGGGGTTTTCTGAGATTTGTTGGACTTGTTTAAGTGCTTGGCAATTTTGATCAATTTTGTGGGTGCATCTGTAATAATTCCTGTATAAATAAAACATATAAAATTTATTAGTATAACATAAATTATATTCAAGTTTTCTCCATGTTATCGCCTATAAAAAACTTCAATAGGTAAGGAATAATCAATCAATTTGATAAGTGTGGAGTGCTAATTAAGAGTTTGACAATTATGTGGTTTTACAAATCATAGTTCACAGTCTGTTTTATAAATAATAAACAGTCTATACATAGGCCGTCCATTATTTAATCAGTTTATACAACTAGCTAAAACTCGATTAATGAGCCAGTGAGATTATTCAACTTAAAAGTTAGGTGGTATATAACAGTTTGTTAAAAATGTATAATTGATATAATGATTCAAATTGCTATTTGTAGTATAAAAGTAATAAATAGATTCCTATGGTTCCAATTAAATAAGAATAGATTAATAAGCTCCTTATGTGGAATGTGGTATCACTTGCACAAATGCACACATAAACATTGGAGAAGTGGTGTCTTATTATCAATATTGGACCAGCAATCCACATAAAAACAGAGTCAAGAAAGGTATGTGCAATAATAATTGCTAAAAAGAGTAATTCTTTTTTTCTTGTAATGGTAACATTTCAGGAAATTATACAGAATATGATCTACATCTTGAACTCGACTTTCATGACTTTAACAACCAATTAAGATAATGATCATTATCACTAATCATAGATTATCACTAATCATAGATTAATAGTGATCAAATGTGCACTATAAGTTGAAAGATGATAAGAATAATACCTTGGGTAAATTGTGTTGAGGATTCCTTTTTGCCCATATTTCCTCCAAGCATGACCATCATCAGTTAGATTGTTAACCTCCAAAATGATTGATTGGCCAGTCTTCCTGCAAATTATATCATTGACAAACTTATTATTCCCTTTTCAAATAATAATTTTGTTTCTTATTTCATAAAAATTATTGGTACATTAATTTGTTTTTAAGAATAATAAAACATTGAAACCCTCCAACTATAAAATGTCAAATTGTCCTTAGATATTCATTACTAGCCATTTAGCCAATAAGTATCCATACAATCATTTAGACCAAAACACCCTTGAAATTGACAAATAAAATTTTAAATTCCTAGTGACAAAAAAATAACCAAATTGCCCCACATGATGAATTAGATTAGAAAGAACAACTCATTAACTCAGGGTAGGTCGGAATTAATTGGGTGTAACTTGTTTCACAGTAACTTAACGGACCCACAGACCCAAATCCAATCCTACAACGACAAAACGGTCTGATTAGGTCCGGGTCCGGGTCTTAAATGAAAAAAGGATAGATAAGAGAGGATTGAAGATATACCTCCTTTTGTAGCATCCTCTTCTTTCTTTAGAAACAACATTTCCACCACCAATGTTATCCTCAGACTTAGACTGATCAGGACATTCCAATTCAAATTTACGCTTCTTGATCAAAACTTGATCATCCTGATCAAAATCAGAAGCGTTCAAAATAGAAAGAACAGCTTCAAAAGAATTCAAAGTCATCCAGGAATGATGATCTAAAGCCTCACGATCTTCAGCTTTCAATCCTAGCCGTTCATTAATGAAGCTTCGAATCTGATTAGCAGATTCTTTGCCTTTTTCCAAAAAAGTTGTGATATTTTCCATCAAATCATTTTTGGGCGAAATGGGTGATGAAGAAGATGAATTGGGTTGCTCAATTTTGCTGACTACTTGCATTTTTTTTTTTTTTTTTTTTTTTTGTAAGATTTTTTTTGCTTGAAAGTTCTAATGTAGTTCTTTGTTTTCTCTGTATTTTCTCAAGTGAAGTGGTAAGAAGATAAGAAGAGAAGAGTGGGTCTTTGTTCTTATATATGAATAGAGGTGGAGAGAGAAAATTTAAATAAAGGGTGATGAAATTAAATTAAATAATTAATTGTAGGCAAAGCAAATTCGAGGGAAAGGGGAAGGAACCTTGAAAGAAATTTAGTCCTCCAACTTGTAAGGCCTTTCTTTAAATTTATATTTTTGCAAGCACCACGCGCCCTACTACACTTGTTTCTTGTTGTGTTTAACTGTTTTTTCTAGATATTGTGTTGTCTACCGTACCTTTGGGTTGTTCAACTCTTCTCCCATGATAAGATGATTTAACACCGGCTAGATATGATAATTTGGGTCAATAAGTCGGGTTCGGGTTAAATTTCGGATCGTGCTTAAAAAAAACTATTTCAAATTTTGCAAAAACATAATATCATTGCGAAATTTGATAGATGGGTCAAAACGGGTTTAAGTCCTGGTCGTTGGGTTTTAGGTCGGGACGAGTTCGAGCTCTTTCTTAGTAACTTCATATCGGGGGTTTGGAGTTAAAAGCTCTACTTGCAACCCTTTACTATCAATGAAATATAATTCTGAAATACCCACATAATCAAATCAAACTCATTATCGGGACTTTATAAACTTATTGATTGATCTCTTATATCTCCAAACGGCCAAACCAACTTATATGACCTAGGGGAGGGGGACACCCCCATGCATTCACTCCAATTTTAAAAATATAGTTTTCTTATCCTAAAGTGTTACTTCCTACTGATATGAAATATTGTGTATTTAGAATATTTCGTATTTAATCTAACATTTAATAAATAGGTAAAAGTTACATTCAACCTTCCGTTACGTGCCCTACGTACTCCTTATGGTGGAGCTTGTTTCGTGGTTTTCTGATGTCCTGCGGGAGAGTTACAATTCCGAGACTGGAACCGGACGCCTGTACCTGCAAAACAACGGAGACTCCTGGTGGTGGGAGCTCCGCCTCCAACGGTCAAGTTAGTACTTGATTAAGGAGTAATTAATGCGGAAATTAAAGTGATTGGGTCTCTCTAGGTGAGAGTGTTTAATGTATGTAATCTGCTTTTTAGCATGCAAATCATGTAATCCCCCCTTAATGAGGATTAAGGGAGGTATTTATAACCTTGGGAAACGTGCCAATCCTAGGTTTAGGTTAACCTAAGGCTGATTGGGCTTCCCTCGGAAGTTGGGCCTGGGTGGCCGGTTTCTCCATTAGGCATGGAGTATGCCACGTGTCATGACATAATAGGTCCAAGGTGGACGAATAAGCGTGTGCCACGTGGCAAGCCCTGACAGTTCTAACTGGGGGACACTTGGCAGGACCTGATTGGCCCACGTGGCGCATTCCGATTGGTGGGAGCAAAATCCCCTAATCATTTACCCCTCACAGGTGGCACGTGACTGGTCACGAGTTACCTGTGACAGGTGTCGCACTGTAACAGGCGACGGCCTGCTTCAGGTGTCAGTTGGCTAAAGGCCGAGAGATTTTCCCGCCCAAATTTTGAATTCTGAAAGTGACCCTTCGCCTTCTCACTTCGCCTATATAAGGGAGTGTTGACTTCAGTCATTTTCACACTTGAGTACTTTGTGAGAGAACATTCGGACCCCTGAACTTGCTCTGACAATTTGGACCTTTTCTGCCTACCGCCTGTTCTGACAAGCCGACTGCAAAGGATTTTCAGAACTTCATCAACCGTCACTCGTTCAGGTAACCGTCGGTTCTCTTACTCTTAATTTTCTCTTTATTTTTTTTTTTTTTGAAATGGCACCACGGAAGCACACGACACGACCTAGGTTAGTGATCAGTCGGTCACCGGGGACGGCTGAATCTAGGACTAGGAGTGTCGCCTGCCCTTTTCCGGACCAATCTTTGCCCTTTATACAAAATCCGACTGTATCTGTGTCTATGCAGAGCATGATGGCCAGAACAAAAAAGACTGCCAGGATCTCAAATTCAGACGGCTCCTCCCGCAGGGTGCCGATTAGTGAAACATCTGACTAGGCGCCAGATGTGGAAGTGAAACAAAGCGGCTTGAAAGCCGGCTGTTCTGAGGGAGGAATCAAAGTGACCCCTTCCCATTTCTCAGTTCACAATTCTTCATTCTCTCCTGCTCCTTTTAAAGGAGAGGAGGCGGGCCCCTCCGGGAGAGGGAGGAGTCGTCCTCTTCGGACTCGTCAGAGAACGATTCCGAGTCTAGCTCTTCTGGTCATGCTTCTCTGGACACAGAAGAGAAAAACAGTCGCCTGCAAGAGGCGAGGCTTTCTCACGCAGTTGAGAAGGGGGACAACTGGGCGGAGCCATCCGCCTCTTACAGAGAGCAAAATACCCCCTACTACTGCACGGTACCTCGGGGCCGGATCACAGCCATGCAAGAGAAAGTGGAGAGCTTTATCGCAAACCACACCATGGGCCCCGACTTTTTAGTGTTCGTGCCGGATCCAGAAGACACAGTCGTCTGGCCGGCTGGTACCAGTTATGATAGCGCCTGCTTTGGCTGCTACGAGGCGGCCATCAAGGCTGGGTTGCGCTTCCCATTACATCCGGCTGTTCAGCGGATCTTGGATGGGTATGAGTTGGGGTTATGGCAGTTAGCCCCGAACTCCTGGGTCAACGTACTCGGCTATGTGGCCGGGTGCGAACTACACGGGGTGGAGCCGAGCTTCAAGGCTTTCGCCCACATGAACTACCTCAGCCGGACCCCTAAGGCAGACGGTACCGGCTGGTATCAATTGACGAGCCACAGGGGCTACCTCATGATGAGAGGTAAAGCAAACAAATGGAAGGACTGGCGGAGCACCTTCCTCATCATTGAGAGTTCAGACACAGAGCTGAACAAGCGCTTCAACAGGTGGAACAGGAATCCGCCCCTTCTTGCAGGCGGCCGTAGCATGCCGCCTGTTCCCCCCAAGGCTAAGAAAGAGATCCTTGATAAAGGACTCTTTAAAGTAGAGTCGAAGGTGATCTCTACTTCAGGGGTACGAGAGCAAGTACCCCTGCACTGCGTCCCGAGCTTCAATTGGCTTTACGACGAGTACTTTTTGGCCGCCTGTGGCCTCAGCAGTCGGTGCTCAAGAGGTAGCCGGCCTGTCGAATACTCTGTTGTTTCATGCATTTCTTGTTATGACTTGTATTAACTTTGCTAATTGTTTTTGCAGCGGACGCCATGAGCAAAATTACCGCCTCCAAGACTGCGGCGGCCATGTTGCGGGCCTCCATCATGCAACAAGCTTCAACCGACTCCCCCAAGAAGGGGCACCCTTGGTGGGCTTCGAACCTTTCACCCTCTTTTTGGAGTTGTGTTTATGCATATACTGACTTTTTCTTCTTTTTTAGACGGGTGCTCCAAGAGCTTCTTCTTCCCAACAGCCGGACCCCAAGGCCCGGAGGACGACTGTTGCGAGCTCTCCTTGTTCTGCCAGGAAACATGTGGCGGCTGAGAAACAGCCGGCCACTTCTTCTAAAACTCCAGCTGGGCCGCCTAGAAGTATGAAGTTGTCCTTGTAAATTTTAAACTTGCTCCCTTTTTTACTAGGTCTAATCCGTTTGTTTATGCTTGATGCAGCCAGCCCTCAGGAGCCTAACTTGGTCGAGGTGGCCAAGTCTATGATCAAGGTCGTTCCTCCAGCTGAAAGGGAGACGGTCAGGGGTGTCGGCACCCTTGACCTAGACGGGATTGCAGGGGTCCTTGCTGAGGTATACTTAGCATATTTTTGAGTATTTGAATTCCTGGACGTCTGTTTTCTTTTTTGTTTGGAAACTGACGCCTGTTCCTTTTTACTTAGGCCCTGCTCCGAGTGAACGGCCTTCACAAGCCGCTTGACCGGAAGAACAAAGAGGTAAAGGCTGCAAAAGCCATGGCCGCCTCCAACTGTGATAAGGCAATGTTTCAAATTGCCCAAAATGAAGTTCTGACCATTGATTCTTTATTATCAGGCGCAGGCTACCGCCGCTATTCGGGCTCAGTTAGAGGCGGCCCAGAAGAGGAATGGCGAGCTGGAGGCGACCATCATCAATCTCAAGGCCGAGCTGAAACCTCTTCGCCTAAAGATGTACTCATACGAAGCCTTGGAGAAATCCTTGGCCAACGTAAAGGAACACCTGGTGACCCAGGAGAAGAGTCTTACTTAGGAGCTCTCGGAAAAGGCCGAGCAAGAGAAGAAAGAGCTGGTCCGGGAGATGATGGAAGACTCTGCTCAAATCCAGCGCATGACTTGGGGCCGCCTCTTCCCCAATGCCGACTTTGCCTCATGGGAAAAAACGTACCGACAGTGTTCTGATACATATAATCAAGAGATCCTGGCGGCTGCTGAGGAAGAGGCGTTGGAGGAAGCGTTGGAGGAGGAGGAGCCGGTAGTGGCGCTTGTGCCTCTTGGGGGTAATGCATCAAAGAAGAATGCAGCTGAAGCCGAGTCCAGCAAGAAGAGTGCTGACCAGGCGGCAGCTGCTAATATTGAAGATCTGCCCCCTTCTTAAGCTTTATGTATTCTTTCCACGGCCTGCGTGCCGTTTGTTTTGTATTTACCCGGCCAGGGGGCCGGGGCTCTGAATATTTTGCCGGTCTTTAATGACCGGGTTCTTTTTAATGAATTTTGAGCTTCAACTTCAAATTTGTCTAAGTATTGAATATTCTGATATCCAATTGTTCACTATACCGACTGTTTTACATGGCCGATAGTTGCAGACAGGTACGGATAGTTAGTCACGCCGCCTATGCCCCTGGACGACTGGTTGTCTGTTTCCAGGCTAGACGATCAGTCGGCCATTTAGCCAATCGGTATTCAAACTATTTTAAAGACTGGATCCCCTTTAGGCAGGCGGTCCTGTCATTGTTACCTAGTTGCCAAGGAACTGAGTAGTAGAGGTATCAAGCGGCGGGTACCGGTTGTTTCCCTTTATTCGCCAATGTTTGTTGGCTTTTAACTCATAATTTGTTAACCTAGCAGGAGTAGTGGTTGAGAGCCCCTGTTTGCTAAAAACAGGGGGACGACTCATACCTTTTAGGCTACATACTAAGTTTGAGGGAGTGACCATAAGTTAACATAGGAGTTAGTCTCCGTCACACTCTAGATTGAGTAGTAGAGGTACCAGGCGGCGGAGGCCGGCTGATCCCCTTGATTCGCCAATGTTTGTTGGCTATTAACTCAAGAGG